TAGAATGAACCACCTCTTGCTTATTATCGATTTCCAATTATCGGACATACATGGAGTTTTTTAATGGATTGTGAAAATTTAATTTTAGAGTCACGAAAAAAAGTCTTTATTTTTTTATTTTTATTTTTTTAAGAAAAATACTGTATAAACAAATCCTATGTTAATAATTTTGAACTTTTAATAATAGTATGGAGAGACATTCTCATTATATATATTTGGTCAAAAAATAACCATGGTTGGAAAGGAAACAACTCACGAAATATTAAAAAAAGATCAAGAGTTTAGTTTTAGCGAAGCCATTAGAATGGTAATTGAACAATCCTTAGCGAATACGGATATCCAGATATTATTATCATCATAAATTCTAAATAATTCAATTTAAAAACAGCGATTACCACTACGTTACCTATTTAATAATATGGATTTAGAGAAAAATAATAAATTAATGAGAGAATATATCACAGGAAAATTAATATATCTTATGGGCAGGTTACAAAGAGATGTTATTATGGCCATAGAACTTTATATTGGTGAATGTATTGGTAAGCTTTAAGATTTTAACTTAAAGTTTCTCATGAGAGACTTAAAATAAATTTTATTATTATTAGAACCAAAGATTATTCATGATCCATATAAAACTTTAACAAATATTATCGCAATTCCGGTTTCTACTGTTATTGTCGGTGAAGTATGTATAGTTAGTTATTGTGTAAAAATTTCTTTTTTCATTAATTTAATTATTTCTTGTAATAAAAAAATTAGGAATGTTGCAATTATGAGGATATATTAGAAACTTTTAGAAGCTTATCAATTTCAATTTTGAATTTTTTTTATATACCACCAATACTATCTTTTATACATCCCTGGCTTCATCATCAATTTGTCACGTAAAGTTTATTTTAGTTCATCTTTACCAATACCTTTTTTGTTAAGGAAAAAAACTTCAAAATTTATTTATTTTATCATTAACTAACAGAATACCTTTAAGGTTTGGTTGGAATCCACTTTCAAACCATAAAAAAGTACTTATCAGTCGCATTAAACCAATTATCGAAAAACGTCTTTACGATAAAAAGAGATTGGGAGATGCTTGGGTTGCTCCAGTAAGCTATTTATAAAACATATATATTATTATTATAAAATATTTAACCACCTTTCAATTTAAAAAATAGGTAGATGGATTACAATGTTACTTAGATGACCCCGAAATAACTCCTGATCTCAATCCAAATAATGTAAATTATGATTTTATTGTTGATGCAATCTGCGTTTTTATTTTTTCTGCTATGGGAACAACGATTGATAGTGCTAACTTTGTTTTATATGGTTAGTTATGTTCTGTTTTTTGTACTTTTAATTCTATTTTACTTATAAATATATTTTTATTTGAATATTAGATTTGGTAAAAAGGAAACAATATTGGCACGAATTATATCAGGAAGCTCAGGAAATTAATAAGCAGTGTAATGGAAACGAACTTACATCTGGTGATATTGCTAAGATGGTGAAGTTAGATGGTTTTGTTAAAGAATCTTTAAGATTCTTAACTAGACATCGTATGATTGGTTTACCACACAAATGTATTTCTAAATCTTATTATACGCTTGCAAATGGATATCAAATCCCAAATGGTAATTTTTTTGTAATTTTTTTTCTTGATTGTTATTCTCAACTTTCAAATCGTAACAATTCTTATACATATTCCTAATTACTTAAATTATTATAGGTTGTATAGTCCTTATAAACATTATTGATACTCATAATGATGAAGGGATTCAAGGTCAAAATCCCACAGAATTTTATGCATACCGTCATTTAGAACGTAATTCTCCTGCAACAAAACTTGACCGTAGTTTTTTATTATTTGGAGGTGGAAAGCATGCATGTCCGGGTAGATTTTATGCTATTAACGAGATTAAAATCTTTTTACATAAAATTATATTAAAATATAATATTAGAACTGAGACCGAGAAGATTGTATCTAAGCCAAAATTTGTAGTAGGACCTTTTGTTAGGCCGATGAAAGGTGGTATTGTGTTTGAGAATAGGAAGGAATTATAAATTAAGAGCTATGCCTTTATTTCATAAAGATGATCTAGTAAAGAGAGTATCAAAGTAAGTTTTAATGATATTCTTTTAATGTCCTTCTTTTTTTTTCTTTTTTTACTTTATAGTATTGTATAAATCAATATTTTTAAATAAATTACCTATATATTAGTGGTTTTTTTTTAAAAATTTATCCAAAACTGTGAATTTCGCTCGCTCTTCTATGAGATTCATAACATCCTATCTGAAAAATTTAGTAATATTTGCGGTATTTTTTCATTACACGTCACTCCGGTTCTGTCTACACTTCTCAAAATAAAAGAAATTGCCTGATTTATCCAGATGTCAGAGATGTTTACATACTATTTGTGCTCAGGAGAAGCCTGCTATCAGGCTTTCAATTATACTTTGTGCTGGACAAATTCTCTAACAAATCAAATAGATTGAGTTCGAATTGAAATCCCGATGACAAGGTTCTCTTGGCGGCACTCTAAGCTTATATATTTTTTTTAAAAAAAATGTCGTTATATCTAGATATCGTTACAACCAGATCGACGTGTATACAGATCGTATACTTAACTTAAAAATGAATTGATTTCTGCATACTGAAAAGAAAAACTTCCTTGCAAAATCTGGTACAAATTTGGTACAATTGTGGCACTTTTATCCAATCATAAATATAACATGCAAAATTGTTTAAAGAAATTTTTAGGCTGTGACACCAAGACAATTTGAATGATGTAGATAATTTTCCAACGGCTGGCGAATGACCAATATTACCTACTCACTTTTTCAAATTCCTCGTTTGGATGTGTATCTAAAGTGAAACTAGTTTGAGGTTTAGGTTTTCTTACCTGACGTTTTCATTAATGCTCCAAATAGGTTTAGACTCTTTAAATCATAAATGTCGTTAACATTTTTTAATTGTTCTGGCCTTGCTTGTTCAGAATTTTTTTAAACTCAATCTATATTTTTCTATATAATAATGAATTTTATTTTATTTTATTTTTAAAGTTTATTTATTTATTATTTTATTATTAAATATATAAACTATTTTTCAGCTTCAAAAAATATTAATAAAAATATTAGCTTTGTGACTAGTATTTACAAATACATATTTACGTATTTTTACTATAAAATAATTTATTCTATCGTTATACTTGATTATTAAAGTATTTTATTTGCATTATGTATTTAACTTGACCGAAATATTGCATATTTCTAATCCATGTAACTATGAATCATGATTAAGACTTGATTCAGTGCTGTAGGAGGTTATGAAATGATGTAATTTTTTTATTTTTATTTTTTACTAAATACCGTTTATTTATAACCACGTCATATCACACGCATTTAAAAATAACTTGTTCGTTATTAAATTCTTTTAATGCATACTAAGTACCATTTGTTTCTGTAACAATTTACACACACACAAAAAGGCTATCAACAATTTGTAACAAATTAATTATGCTGCATGTATAGCTAAATGACATAAAGTAATAAAACATTATATTGAAGTAGGGTTATGATTGCAACGAGGCTTATTTTATACCAAAATTTAGTTAGAAACAAAATTTTTTTTCTGTTAGTACGTGCGAACGCAGAAGATAGATCAGTGAAAATCTGTCAGTATTTCTGTAAGCAGTAGCAACAATGATCATTGCCTAGTTCTCTAAGATGTTTAGCACCTTAATCCTACCTAATCTTAATCAAATTCTAATTTAAATAAAAATTTATAATATACTGTAACTTATATATATATATGTTGTGCCTCAGATCGATGCTCGCGTCAGGTGACAGCTGACGCACCTCAGATATCAATCATTAGATGAGGTA